CAAGTCCCATCCAGCCTGGCCTTGAACACTCCCAAGGATCCAGGGACAGCCACAGCTTCTCTGGGCAACCTGTGCCAGGGCCTCCCCACCCTCACAGGGAGGAATTCCTTCCCAATATCCAACCTCAGTTTCCCCTCTTTCAGTCCAAAGCCTTTACTCCTTGTCCTGCCACTGCGGTTCCTGATGAAGAGACCTGATGAATATTGCATATATGGATTAGACATGGATTATATATGGATTGTATATGGACCAAGGCTTGCTTCACCTGGAGAATACAACCTCCCTGGGAGTGGGATGTTTGTATAAGCTGGAGTAAATCACCCTGTGAATTCTTTGGACGTAAAGGGAGTTGGATGGAGTCTGCTGGAGAGGAGAAGGGAAGGGAAATAGCAGCTCTTTCACTACCAAATATTCATTTCTTTTTCTTTTTCCCTTCCTCACAGGTCCCACCTGGAAGAAACCCAGAGACTGAACCGCCGGAGGAGGTTCCCCTATCCCAGGGAGAGAAGTGACTCCACAGGCTCCAGCTCCATTTATTTCACAGCCAGCTCAGGGAATGCCAACACGGATGATGGAGAGAGTGAAGGGGGGTAAGCAGAGCACCAGGCCAGGGGCAGCTTTCAGGTGCTTTCGTGCCACATCTGAGCTGTTTAGAACAGAAATTAAGGGAATTTTTTTTCCCCACTGGGTGTCTGTCAGCCTGTTATAGTTTGCTTTTATTGCAGTAAATGTGTCACTGCCAGGGCCAGACTGGGAGATCTGCAAGAATCCTGACTTCTAGAGAAAGAAAAAAATCATGTATGTGTATATATATATATATAAAAGGGAGGGAGGGTGATTTTAAAGGAATAATTTGGTTATGGAACGTTGTAGAAAGAAGGAAAGTAGAAGTCCAGCCTGGGACCGAAGTGAGAATGTTTAGAAATAAAATTTCAAGACAATAATGTATTTTTGAGTGCCTGGAAAACTTGAGAAAGTTCAGAATGAATTAACTGAATGTCTTCAGTTAACCGAATGTCTTCAACTAGGGTGTTTCTTGGTTTTTTTTTCCCATTGTGAGATCAATTGTTTTAAGTTCTTAGAGTTTAAAATCAGGTGAAAGTTATAAACTCACACAATCAGGGAATATCCTGAGGTGGAAGGAACCTAGTAGGATCATCAAAGTCCAACTCCTGGCCCTGCACAGGACAGGAAAGTACTGAGTAGTTTAAGAACATCATTAAAAATGACAATATGGCTTTAGGTATATTCATATTAGACAAGCAGCAAGAGTTCTCCTGCACACCTGGTGGTGACTGCTGATTTTCCAAGGAAATGCTGCTCTTTTGTGCCTCAGTCAGACCAATTTGGTAGCATTTGAGGTATGGAAGTGTGTCCCAAAACGTGTTAGTTTTTTCCCAGGGCAGTTGAAATGTAATTTAAAGAGAGATTTTATAGCAGTGGGAGCATTTCAGGGGAAGTTTGGACACAATGGGGAGCAGCCAAATGACCTGTGAGCTGGTGCCAGCACTTTGCAGCAGGGGATTTGTCTTCTCAGGATGGAAAACATGGATCTGCAGGAGGGCAACCTGTGACTGCCCTAAAATCGTGTCATTTCAGTGTTTTCTCTCTCCTAACTGGAGCTGGTGTGGCAGGAGAGAGCTGGGATGATGTCACTGGGGTTGTAGAGCTTCATTCATCCGGAGTGGGTGTTGGAATGAGAGGGAAATGAGGCAGTGAGTGATTCATGGTGGTGTAATAGGGAACGAGGGTGCAGAACAGATTTTAAAATGTCTAGTTGGTTCTGAAGACGAGACATTTGCTGTTTGGGTAACAGCAGATGCACTGAATCATCAGGGTGACAGTGGCTTTTGTAAAATTGATGGAAAAGGTGGGTTTTGTCCACCTTGATCCCAGCCTGGGGTGTCCCCTGCAGATAGAAAACTGTAAGTTGTGGCAGAGGCCAGGAATTCAAAGGTTCAGAAAAGGCGCCTCCTTAGGGGACAGGGGTGTGTTTTACTGCAAAGCCTCATTAATTTATTGGGAATCCAGTGATGGTTGGAGGAGTTCTTACATTGTAACTAAAATCTGTAACTAGAACTCTCATCTGATTTAAAAAAACCCCTGGAATAATGTAATTTCTCCCTGTGTAGGACCATAGGGATAATGTCAGTCTGGTCAGGACCAGCTGCCTTTAGTGTGCAGTATTGTCTGGTAGAGATGTAAATGTACCAGAAGAGTAACATTTTCAGGGTTAAAATCAAGGCAGGAAATGTAAATTTTGGAAAAAACAGTTGAAGCTCTGGAGCAGCCACTGGGAGGAAGAATGAGATAAATTTCAGCTGGATGTTCCTTGCTGGCAGTTGAATTATTTTTATGGAATTCAGAACGAAGAACTCCCATTTCAGCTTTCTTTTGTGAACCACATGGACATGAGCAGCTTCTCCTATTCCATACACAATTCCCAAAAATCAGCGAGTTCTCAGAGGTTTTGGGCTGTTTAATTTCCCGGTGTGGCTTTGGGTTTTGGGCTTCTTTGCCTCTCCTTTCTGTGGGCTTTTTTGTTCCAGACTCTGTTTTCCTTCAGGATGTGTTTTAGCCAGAGGTCCTCCTAAAGTATTCCAGTTCCATCATTGTAAGTTCAGGAAAATAGGCTGATAACATCTAAATCCCTTAATCTCCCTGAAAGCTTTGAGCTTGTCCTGTTCCTTGTCTTTTTGAACTGCAGCAACTGGGAGAAAACATGGGGGTTTTTTGAGCTGAAGGACTGAAACCTTGGCAGCTGCCAGGAAAATGTTGGGGGTTAGGATGGGGAAATATGGGAATTTGAGGAGTTTGTGCCCAACTACTGAAAATGGGGTAGTCTAGAGAACTAATAATACCTTAATATTAATATGTTATTAATTAATCTTAAGAAATGTAAAGAAATGAAGCTTTTAATGTGAAACAGAGCTCAGCCAGTGTCACCTGCCAGTGTCACCTACCCCTGTGTTGCTGCATTATCCATGAATTCAGTGGCATCTCCAGCATGGCATCCCTGCTTTCCTGCCTCTGCTGACTCTTTGTTCCTTGCCTTAAAATGTTGCAGTACAGAAATGGTGGGTTTTAAATTTCTGGATGAGGGTTTGGAGGCTCTACTGAGCAAGGGTGTTGGTTCACCCTCTTGCCAGAGAGGGAAATGCTTGAAAGTTATGGATGGTTCTCAGAAAAGTGAAGCTTTGATAGCCAGATGTGTCTTGTTATCAAGGTGTGGGTGAAGTGCTGTCACTGCCTCCTTCAGATACAGACTGTGGGCACATATCTGGGTCCCCAGACAAAGGCAGGATCACAGGGCTGTTCCTTGGGAAGAGGAATCCAGCCGGGACACAGTGCTGGAGGTACCCAGTGCCCTCAGACTGCAGTGAATTTAATTCTGGCAGAACTGGTGTAGTTGTCTTGTTGTTCACCTAAATCAACAAAATCCACATATTAAAGTGCAGTAATTTTGAAATTACTGCCTGATTTGTGCCTGTTCTGCAGTTAAGAGCTTGCAGGTCAGTGTGAGGGGGACAAATAATCTTATTTTAAAAGAAATTGGCTTTGTGAGTAGACTCCCCCTCTGCAGTGGTGCCACTGTATAATGCCAGTTAAAATTTTAAATTCCCACCTTAAGTGCTGGGGGAGCTTAATTTTAGCCATTTTCAGAAGCTTGGATCTGAGCTTTACAGAATCAAGGAGGTTGGAAGAGACCTCCAAGGTCATAGAGTCCAACCATCATTGTGGCACCACCAAAACCCTCCCTAAACCATGTCCTGGTTCTTTTGATTAATTCAGCTGTGAATCATTCCCTGGGTTTTTCATGTGTGGTGTCTCTTTGTGGCTCATCCTCTTGCTCCTTGCTGGTTTTCTTGCTGCTGGAAAAGAGTCTTGGTGGCTTTCCTGCTGTTCTTCACCTTTTCACCTGGCAGTGGGAACGAGCTGTGCAGCATTTAGTGACCAGGATGATGGAGGGATGAGGTGTTGCCAGGAGAGCTGTTGTGCCTAAAATTCCCTGGAGCAGGCTAAATCCCTCAGGTTATACTTTCCAGATGGATTGTTGAAGTTCTCCTTTATAATCCATATATTTAACTGAATAGTCCTGGCTCTGCTTTCAGCTGTTTAATTCTGTTACACTGCAGTTAGAAGAGCTAAGAGGAGCTGCCAAGGTGTGCAGGTGAGGTGGGGACACTTAAAATCCTGGAATGGTTTGGGTGGGAAGGGACCTTAAAGCTCATCCAGTTCCACCCCCATGCCATGGGCAGGGACACTGTTCACTAGTCCATGTTGCTCAAAACCCACTTGTGACTGAAGTTCCAAGGGACCTTCATCCTTCAGCATTCTGTGCTTTCCTTCAGATTTTTTTGATATATTACGTGAGAAATAGTGACTGTTCCAAGAAACCCAAGATTGAGACGCTTGTGTCGTGCAGGATAAGCTGAGATGCTCCTCTTCCTCTGTTAGGAGTAGCTCCCCAAACTGGTTTTGTGTCGGTTTTTTTTTCCTCCCAAAGTTACACCACGGCCAACGCCGAGTCCGACTATGACCGGGAGTCGGAGAGGGAGAGCGAGGAAGGGGAGGATGAAGTGAGCTGTGACACAGTGAGGACGGTGCGCCGGGATTCCCTGGACCTGGTCACCGAGGATGAAGCCCCTCTGGCCCTGGATTCCTCTCTGGAGGAGGGGCTGGGGCAGCTCCTGCAGCAGGCCGACCGCCTGCACGCCGGGGACGAGCAGGACAGGAGGGAGGGGTTCCAGCTGCTCCTCAACAACAAGCTGGCGGTAAAGGTGCCTTGTGGTGTCCCTGTGCTGGGGGAGGGTCAGGTTGGACATCAGGAGGAATTTCTTTGCTGAGGTTCCAACCCTTGGCTGATCCCCACCTTGTCCCCCAGCCCAGAGCACTCAGTGTCACGTCCAGTCCTTCCTTGGACACCTCCAGGGGTGGGGACTCCACCACCTCCCTGGGCAGCCCCTGCCAATGTTTAACCACCCTTTCCATGAATAAATTCTTGCAGATGTCCAACCTGAACCTCCCCTGGCACAACTTGAGGCTGTGCCCTCTCATCCTGTCCCTTGTTCCCTGGGAGCAGAGCCCG